GATAGAGAGGGAGAACAATGTGGAACAAAACTCAAAATCATTTGGAGGAAAAAAAAAAAAGGTGGGGACCAGGTTTGCTGGTCCGATAGAGCCTGGTGGAACCACTGAGACTATGGCCCCTAGCTGCCCTTCAGGTCTGGAATTGAAATCATACCCGTGGTTTCCAGCCAAACAAAAGACAGGCTTATGAGTTGAACATTTACCTGAGGTAGATACACTCCTTAGAGAGAACAGTCATGGCAGAAAGAAGGGCTGCTTATGCACAGGGAGACAGCTCAGGGGGAGGAATGCATGGAGGGATGGACACTGGGAAGAGGTAACTATGGGGAGGAAGTGGGAGGGGAGCTGTTGCACTGTGGTAAACTGTGGTCAATGTCATGAGACAAAGTTTATGTGAACTGCTGTATGGAAAGTGATTTTGCTCTGTAAATCTTCACCCAAATTACAATTAAAAAAAAAAAAAAAGTGTGCTCTGGACATTGGTCAACAAAGAATATCTGGAAGAGGAGTTCCAGTAAGATGGTGGAATACGCAGACAGGCTACACGGACCCTCTTCAACAAAGAAAAGGAGAACCAATTAACACAGATACAAAAGATAACCCTGGAGACCTGAGCTTTGAAGGGAAGGATACAGAAATGGACTTAAGCCCAACTAGTAGAAGTACCTACATGAAAACACCAAAAAAGAAGACATATGGAGCTGTGGTTTGTCAGCGATCCTGATGGCATGGACAGCTTGGATATTGCTAAGAAATAACCTAAAAACCAGCCCTGCTAGCCAGGGGCTGCAAGGAGGACTGCACTTGTGGCTGGTGAATAAAAGGGGGAAGCAGCAAAGAGGAAGGCAGGCTAACCTATGGACTTTTGCCTGTCTGGAGGGCACAGCCATTTTGAATGTTTACAAGTAGTTTGATCATTCTGGATATTTAAAATGACAGCATTCTCCCATATTCCAGGGACTTAAGAATAGGTTCCACCTGCTGAGAACCACAAGGGCATTTATGACATGAACAACTGGAAAGGTACGATATTCCTCTTGCTACTCTTATACCCCACACCCTCTTGGTGAATGAAGGTGTGGCTATCCCTCACTCCCACCGATCTTCTGGGCTGGGAGTAATTCCATCCCAGTCTGTGCACTTTGACGAAGCCTGGGTGCCCTGCCATGCCCTGTCCAGATTTTTTTTCTTTGTTGGTTTGTTTTTGTCTGCTTTTAAATTATTATTATTTTGTCCTTTTTTTATTATTGTTTATTCCTCCCTTCTCAGGTTCTAGTTTTCAGCTTTTTCTTGCTTCCTTGTTGCTGGTTCCAATTTTTTTCTTTCTCATGGTTAACCCCATTTCTTGTTTTTCTTTTTGCATTTTACCCATTTTCTTCTTCATTATTCTCCTCCTCTACCCTTTTCTCTTATCTCCCTCTCTCCAGATATTGTGGGTTTTTTCTCTTTCTTTTCTTTTTCCTTTTTTTTTTTTTTTGTGATTGCTTCTGTGTGTTTATGCAGTATGTTTTTTGTCTGCTTGCTTTTACTTTTTTGATGGTTTTGTGATTGCTGTTTTTGTCTGAGTGGGAGACAGAAACAGTGCCTATATGACACAATTATACCCACACCTCCTACAGCTTTACTTACTGAGTGAGAGCCACCACTTCCTTCTCCACCAACTGGCCAATGACAATCACCAAGAAGAGTCAAACTCACTCTTAGCTGCTCTTCACAAACAGTTAACAGAGATCTAAATACAACAATGTACCAATGTCTCTTAGACAACAGACCATTACAGTCCAGACAAACAAGCAGCATAAAGTGGTAGAAACAAGGGAGCAGGATACAGACCCAGAACACATCCCTGAGGAAGAAGCAGCACTGGAACACCCTGATAAGGAATTCGAAAGAATTATATTTAGGTATCTTCAAAGGATTGAGACACAGAACAAGGAAAACACTGACAAAATTAAGGAAAACACAGACTAAATCCTAGAACAACTTCGGAAAAAGATACAAGAACAAAATGAGAAAATAACCAAAAAATTAGAAATGATACAAAATCTACAGGTAGAAATCCAGAAGATTAATACTAACTTTTCAGAAATAGATAACACATTGAAATGGCAAAGGAGCAGAATTGATGCAATGGAAGACAGAATTAATGAGATTGAAGACAAATACCTGAATACTTCTTTGGAAAGGGATCAGTCAGAAAAAGATCAAAACAAAATGAAGAAAGTCTAAGGATCATGTGGGATACCATCAAAAGGAACAACCTACATGTCACTGAAATTCCAGAACAGGAAGAGAAAAAGAAAACCACTGAGAAAATTGTCCAAGATTTGTTAGAAGAGAACTTCCCTGATATGATGAAAGATGAGAATATATCAATTCATGAAGTCCAATGAACCCCAAACAGGATAGAGCCCAAAAGAAAATCAGTAAGACATATCATCATCAAACATTATCAAAAGCAAAGACAAAGAAAGAATTCTGAAAGCAACATGGGAAAAATGAAAAGCTACCTACAAAGGACAACCAATAAGAATAAGCTCTGATTTCTCAGCAAAAACCATGCAAGCTAGAAGGCAATG